TAACAGGTTAAAGGCTTTTGATCTCTAATCTAGAGTATGCATTTTGGAGGATGGTTAGATGGTGTTCTCTGCTCCAGGGAGCATAGTGTCTTCATGTACCTACTCCTGTGCTCCTTTTTTCTTACATGTCTTCCAAGTTTGAGTAGCTAGAGTTATGTTGTTCTGTGCTTTATTTTTAATAAAAAAGATTATGACTATAAGCATTCAGGTTTACATTCTGAATAGTTGCCATTTTTTATTAGAAATTCTAAAGTTATTTCAAAGAGAGGCAGATGTTTTTCAGATGAAAAGAAAACCATGTCACTTATTTTTATTTTTTTATTTTTTAAATGTATTTTATTGATTTTTCACAGAGAGGAAGAGAGAGGGATGGAGAGTTAGAAACATCGATGAGAGAGAAACATTGATCAGCTGCCTCCTGCACACCCCCTACTGGGGATGTGCCCACAACCAAGGAACATGCACTTGACCGGAATTGAACCTGGCACCTTTCAATCTGCAGGCCGATGCTCTATCCACTGAGCCAAACCGGTTTCGGGAACGTGCCACTTTTAAAGGCCTTATTATTCAGTCTTCCATTAACCAGGTAAAGTCATTTTTAGCAGACAATAGCAAAGTAAATCTAGATATTGTTTTTATTTTTTTTATTTTTATTATTGTCTAAAGTTTTTTATATGTCTCCTTTTGCCCCATTGACCTCCCTTTCCCCCCAGCCATTCCCACCGCTGAGGGCAAGCCCCCACCACCCCAGTGTCTGTGTCCATTAGTCATGTCAATATGCATGCATACTGTCCTTTGGTTGATCTCTAGCCTCCCTCCTCTCCTGCCATTTGTCTCTGGATCTACTTTTGTTCATGTTTATGTTGATCATTATATCCCACATATGAGTGAGATCATGTGATATTTATCTTTCTCTGACTGGCTTATTTGCTTAGCATAAAGCTTTCCAGATCCCCACCCATGCTGTTGCAAATGGTAAAAGTTCCTTTTTTATATCCGCATAGTCTTCCATTGTGTAGATGTATCACAGTTTTTTAACACACTCCTATGCTGATGGACACTTACACTGTTTCCAAATCTTAGCTATTGTAAATTGTGCTGCTGTTAACACATGGCCGCACATATCCTTTCTGATGGTTGTTTCTGGTTTCTTGGGAAAACTTTAGAATCCCCTGTTGCCAGCAGCCCTGTGGAATCCCTTCCACATTCGAGGTCTACACTGACCCCAAAGGGTCTCATAAAGACATGCTGAATACAAAGGGATGAAATAAATGAATAATCGTTAACATAAAATAATAGAACATTTTAATTAAAATATTTAATATTTCAAAATAATTAATAATTAATATTTTTCCTGAACATTAACTTAGCAGACACTTATATAACTGCACAAATTAAATTGTAACACAAATAAACCTATTTTTCTTGTTCTCTGAAAGTGAAATATTTCCAATTGTATACACCAAACAAGTCAGTCCAAGACTAATGACGTGGCAGTCGGCTGCTAAAATATTTGTTTCTAGTATTAGTGTAGAGAAGCCGTGCGTCCCTGTGTAAGGTGCCTAAGGGAAATGAATGCAACACAATTATAGTAATCAGTCATTAGCGAATGTTTCAGTTAGTTATTAATAATTATGTGTAACAGGATATTATAAAAATTAAGTTACGAAATATTTTATTAAAATGTTTCTCACATACCATTGGCTGGGCTGCAAAAATGTTCATTGTGGGATGCATACAGCCCATGGCATGCGAGTTTGACATGCTTGTTTTAGGGTCTGGGATAACAGTGGTGAACAGAAAAAACAATTTTCTGAACTCATGCCGACATTATTTAAATGACTGATTAAATAAGACAACTATTGAAAAAGGGAAAATAAAAAAAGCCCTGTAGTTAGAGGTTATATAAACTTGTAGAGAGATGTTTGGAATTTGTGTTGCTTGACCTTTAATGATAGTTATGATGTGGGGCTGTTTTTCAGAGCATTCAATGATTGGCTGTTCTGAATAGCAGAGTGAGTATTAGACTCTCTCTGGCCTTCCATGACACCCAACTTGGAGAGTGCTATGCTGCCTCATGGTTGTGCACACACTTTTGATTCTACACCTAGCATTCTACTAGGGAGGGGATCCACCACCCTGGTCTACAAGCTGAGTGTAGGGTGATTCATCATGATTCTGCAGCTGTGAAACGCAGTTTAATTTCTGAGTTATTGCCTACCTATTGAACTTTTGGAAACAGAACAGAGTCATCCATTAGGTTGTGTTTTGCATTTGCATTGAGGATGGTGAGAAGTCTTGACCAGCACCCTGGGTTATAAAAGAACACTTGTGTTTTAAAAGAAAGTTTGATTTTAATGTTTAGAATTTAAAAACCTATAATCATCGTCAGGGATGTGCCTCTTTTGTATTTAAAGTACTTTATAGGTGTAATGAAACTACTCTTGTACCAGTAAGTGAACCCTAATTGTGTCTTCCTTGCAGGAGTTTTCATCCCACATGGTTTATGTTTTAATTAGAAATTAGTTGTAGGGGTGTAATTCTCTATTATAGGGGCCTGAAGTCAGAATGAAGGTACCAGCCTGAACAGGATGCAGAAAATTGTCACTGGAATTTTACATTGAAAGCTATTTTGGGGCTTTAAAATGTATACATGGTGTAGAAGTAGGAAACAATAGTTTATAATCACATCACTTGTGGAGATTGTGGAGATGCAAAAGATGAGAATAGAAACTTGGTTGCAATGAAAATATTTTTGCTGCACAGTCTTTATTGCATAGTCTTTATTGCATAGTCTTTATTGCATAGTCTTTATTGCATAGTCTGCAATAAAGACTGTGGAAGCGGGAAAAGTGGATTTCAGTCTAATAAGCATTAATTCCTGCCACATTTAAGACTGTCATTCGTTGCAAAGAATATGCTAGAGCTTTCATGGAATCTCAAGGGAATTGCTATAAGAGCAAATTCAACTAGAATGTGCTTTGTATGTGCTGTCTAGCTAAAGCATCTGCCTTTTACCTAGGATAGTTATTTGGGCTGCTCAGATAGGTCTGGTTACTTCATTTTTCTGTTTTTGTTTGTTTGTTTGTTTTTAAACAAGGTGATTGGAATTTCTGCAGTGACTTAAACCAAGTAGCAGTTAAGGAATTGTGTGTGTTCTTCCTGTTAGGTTGAGGCAAGATTTGCTTGCTTCTTTTAACCTTCATGTTTGAATCTCGCCACCACCTTGGTTATTAGATGTCTTGGCTCTCAGCAGAGCAACCAGGAAGACAGGATGTGCCTTCTTTCTCTAGTGGTATTGGAAATCACAGCTTGGCATATCTACAAGAAGGAAGGGTGTGTAGGGGAAGGTGGAAATGCTGGCCTCTTTTCTTCCCCAGGCTCTTTCTTCCCCTTATAATACACTCTCATTTTAGGAAATCCCTGAAGCTTAACAAGAGTGAAGCTTAACTTATTAGGGCTTAGCGTTCCTCTGTGGTTGTATTTCTAAGATGTAGTTTGTATTTATGCAGAGTTTAGGAATTTAAGAGCTGAAAAAGACCTCAGCTATCCCAGTTCTCTTATTGAGTCCCATGGAGGTTTTTATGTCACCTATTAGTGACAGGAAGTAGAAACCAATTTGTTGAACATCCAATACAACAGCACCAGTCTAACTCTGAAGTTTGGGCTCCTCTTTGAACAGAGGGAACATGAATATACAAAGCCCTGTTTTTACCCATGGTATTAATGTTTCCCTTATTCTCTTGAGGCCAAAAATATCTGAGCACCTCAAATACTTGCATCTCTAAATCCAACTGTGTGATAAAATGCTTAAGTCCTGAAGCAGGTGTGTGAATGTGAGGGCTTCTTAGATAAACAAACTGTGCACAGATATCCACAGAACCTAAGAATGTTCTTAGCCAGAATGTCCTGCCCCTTAAACCTTAAACAGCATGTTGTTGGTTTCTTACAACAGTTGTCTCAATTCAGTTACGATGTCAGCCATCTCCATCCTCCAGTCTTGGCTCATGTTCTGTCTCAGTTTCCTCCCTGCGCCCTCCTCCCTACTGCCTCTTCAATTCTAATCATTCTTTATATCTTTACTCGTGGAATGGTCTATAGGCTGGCTGCTAGTTCTTTGATCCCTCCACCCCATCATCTTCCAACCTGGCCTTTATTTTGTTCATTCCTCTCTCAAGAACTTGCATTGGATCTGATACAGAAGACATAAGGGAGCCACACTTTTAAGTTAGCCTTCAAGACCTGTTATTAACCTGTGTTTATTTTTATCTCTTGAGTCCTCCTTTTCCCACATTCTATTGCACTTTCCCATACTGGTGTCTCTCCCCCCCCACCCCCCTTGTCCTTTGTGACTTACTTTCTTAAGAGCCTATTGCTGATCCAGTTTTTGACTGAATTGTAAGTTTCCTTGAAGGTAGCACTAACCCCCCAATGACAACAACAAAAAAGTAGAGCACATACAGGGTATCTCAAAAAATGTAACCATACTTTGAATAATTATTAATTCCAATGGGTTAAATATGAATAGGAAAAAAATGAATTTAGCTATTAAAAATATATGAGTATACATTATTTTGGGACACCCTATATAAGGCAGTATACATTCTGGCATTGCTTGCTTTATAAAACTCCAATACAATGGTTCATTATTACACCCCTGGTTGTGAGTGTAATAACAGCTATTTATGAACTTTGCCAGGAACAGAAACCTTCAATATTCCCCACTAATGAAGATCTTTGGATGTGGATAGCTAAGGAGAATGAGGTGGTTTTTGTCATTCTTTCAGTCCCTCGTATAGTCTGCTTTTACTTGAGGTCTCTCCAGATGTCTGAAGGGCCAGTGCTATCTCTTAACCATATGCTATAATATTGATCTCTAAAACCATGTCTTGATCACACAGTACTTGTTTGAAATTAAAAAAAAAAAAAAAAAAAAGGTTTATTTTGGCTGTTTTCTTTTAAATAACTCTCCTTTCTTTCATCTCTCTTGGTTTCTCCAGGATGACAGTGATGGGATTCCATGGTCAGAAGAAAGGGTGGTACGTAAAGTCCTTTACTTGTCTCTGAAGGAGTTCAAGAATGCCCAGAAGAGACAGCATGGTGAAGGCATTGCTGGGAGCCTGAAAACAGTGAATGGTGAGTTGAATATTTGTTGAATCTCTGGGCACAGCCTTGTTTCTGAATTGTATGTGTTTTGCAACCTGTGTGCTTTTTAAGCTGTCTTTTTTTTTTTTTTTTTTAATATATTTTATTGATTTTTTTTACAGAGAGGAAGAGAGAGGGATAGAGAGTTAGAAACATTGATGAGAGTGAAACATCGGTCAGCTGCCTCCTGCACACCCCCTACTGGGGATGTGCCTGCAATCAAGGTACATGCCCCTGACCGGAATTGAACCTGGGACCTTTCAGTCCTCAGGCCGATGCTCTATCCACTGAGCCAAACCGGTTTCGGCTAAGCTAAGTCTTTTACCTGTAGTTATTCTGGACACACTTTTGGGTTTATAGATTCATTTTCATGTTCTGCACACAGGACCGGGACTGCAAATCTGATTTCTTTCTGGGCTGAATGTGGAGCCTGTTTTACAGGTTTTCCTGTGGATATCTGCTTCATACTCAAGTATGACAGCAGAAGTTTTTGATTATCTTACTGCGGCATGATGTTTAAATTCTTATCCCCTTTGTAAAGGAAATAGCCTAAATCCATGGTGTGCCTACTGCCTTTTCTGCTCTCAGGCCCAGTAACCTCCTAAGCACCTGCTTCTTTGTATGTTGATCAGGTTGGGCAGGTTGATTCCCAGCAGCAAGTATACAGTGGTATAGAATTTTCTGTGCATCTGGAATTTTACCTCTTCCTGTATGGTTATCTGAAGGATCCTCGAAGCCTGGAAGGAGACTTGCTTATATCTGCCTTTATTCTTGTATCTCTTTTTAATGGGATTTAGTATGACTGAGATGAAGTCATTTAACAAAAACCATTTCAGAACTAACATTGATTTTTCAGGGGATGTGGCTATGGTGGCATTCCAGAGTCTCTCCTATACTTACTAATCTCAGAATTATGGATAACGTGAGTCCACCATGTTCTGGTGTGCACTTACATGGAGATGAAGAAGAAGAGATACTGTTTTGTCTTAGAATCTTTGGTCTTGAGGTAACAGTTATCCCATGTGGATTCTCAGCAGCTTTCCAGGATGCAGAGTGATAGGTTCCCATAGGGCTTCAAGTTTCTTTCCAGCCTGCTTGGTGGAAAGGTGAGTTGAGTTGTCGGAAAGCCTCTTGTTGGAATTGGTGCTTGAAGACAGGACCTGTTGCTTCTCTGTTTCCACAGGGCTGTGGTGGGAGTTAGTGAGATAACCTCCTGCCATCTACCCACGTTCTTTCATTCTCTTCTAGTATTGTGTGGTTTGAAACAAGAACCCTTAAATTCTGAGCCATATGTAATGGGAAAGGCCCTTTTACAATTTCTTTTTTGCATTTGCAGAAGTAAAATAAGTAGTGGACTCTGTTGCTGCCGCATACAGTTTAGACCCCGTGTATTCCTTAGCTGCCTGATTATAGAGTAAACTATATTCCCTGTGTCTATTTGGAGAATATTTGATGTGATAGTTCTTGTCATTGCTTCGCACTGAATGCAGATGGTCCCCCAACTTAATGATGGTTTGAGTTGATGATTTTTCACCATAATGATGGTGTGACAGTGATACACATAATACATCACATGAGATAGTCAACACGTTATTTTAAAATTGACTTTGTTAACACATTTTGCCAAACTGAGTGTTCTGAGCACATTTAAGGGCTAAGCTAGGTCTATTAAATGCATTTTCAACTTAAACCCATTGTAAACTGGAAATATCTTATTTGGATGTAACCCCAAATGAAAATAAGTTGAGGAGCAGGGTTTTGCTTGATTAAGATTTTTAGAAGGGTAGTGGGAGGAATTTAATTGAATCCTGGAGTTAGAGTAGAGCAGTGACTATTATGGATATAGATCTTAGTGTTTTGATAAGAATGCTTAATTCTGCTGTTCATGAGTGGTAATGCTATATTGCCCTGGGACTCTCTTAATTTAGAAAACAACAACACAACAACACATCAGCCTAATTGGGAAAATCAGCTTTTAGGATAAGAAGTTAGCCAGGTGTTCAGGATTAAATGAAAGTGGAATTTGGGTAAAAGAACAAAAACTAAAGTAAGTTATCCAAGAAGCAAAGAGCACTACAAACTAGTTGGCTATAAATGTGGCTCTCATGTTTTTTGAGCATAGTTGAGGGCTTGATAATGCAAAGAAAATAATTCGAAGAAAAGTTGTCAAAGATACTTCTATTGGAATCACTGAAGATTTTGAATAATTCTTGTACCAGCTTCATAAAGAAAAGGTAGTTTTTGTCGTGTTAGTTTGCCTTTCACCCTAATAAATACTGACATGTCTTTTTTTTAAAATGACTTTTATTTATTAAAAAAAAATACTTTTTATTTTAGTTGTGAAATTGCTGTGAATATGCCTTTTTTTAGTTCCTGTTGGTGTTTGTGCAGGTAACATTCCAAGGCCACCTTTTTGTTATTCTGTGTATGGCATTTCAGTAGCAGTTTTTAAGTAAATACATTTATCTCCTTGTTTCAGAATTTAAGTGTTTTAAGAAGAATTTTTTTTAAATGCAGCTAACATGTTAAAATGCGCTTTCCTGTTTGGAGGTTACTGGAAAGCACAGGGAAACAATTGTTACTATGGTGATAACTCCTTAGGAACCTGAATCTCAGGAGTACCCTCTAGGAGGATATGATTAGAGAAGGCTGAAATAACAGAGAACATTCAGGATTCTTTTGGTCAAATGATGTTGGGAATAGGGATGATGGCAAACAGTGTTCTTTCTCAAATGTGCATCACTTGAATTTGAATGGATACTTCATAATAGATTATAATTCATATACTGTATAATAGAGTGACCCTGTCTTAACCTGTACATCACAGCATACAATCATGGATTCTTCATGTGGGTAAGTGAAGGTAAGGTAGTAGAGGGAGAATGGTTTTAACAGTCATACAAGGTACTTGTTTTTCTTTTATTTTTAAAAGTTGAAATAATTCCATTGGTCCCATTTTAGAGATTTGTCTGGTAGTAAACTTTGGAAACTATCCAGTATAGAGCCCTTACTGGGAGGTGGGGGTCTGAAAGTCGATGGCAAATGGGCTAGAGCATGTTCCTGTTCCCCAGATGGGGAGGGCTTCTGCCCCTGTTCTCCCCTTTATCACTTGGGGACCTTAGGTAGTAACATACCTTTGAGTTTGTTCACCTTGGTGTTTTTCACCTGTAGGCTGAATAAACATCCCTTTTTTGTGTGGTAGTGGCTTTCCTGACTCTCAGTTATCCTATCTAATAAAGAGGGAATATGCAAGTTGACTGTCACACTATTACAAAGATGATGGTGCCCAGTCCCTTCAGCCCCGCTGGAGTCCCTCAATCTTTTCAGCCCAACTAGGGGGCAATAGGCACATGATGTGGCCAGACCCAGCCTCAGGTGAGTCTGGCTGCTCCGCGTGCCAGCCGCTGGTGTCCCCCAGTCCTTTCACAGAAAATGGGTTGCCTCAAAAGTTGGTTGAGCTTCTTAGGACAAAAAGCATTCAAAATCTTTGAAAAGGGAATTCCAATATTTATAAAAGTTTGGACTAGACAATTCAAAATTATTTTCCACTACAAACTTCTGTGATTTTACGATATTAACATTGTGAATTCACACAATACCAGCTGTATTATATGTAAACAGATATTATTTAAAGGAATGGCTATTATAATTAAAACAATTCATAAACCACACTGTTTGTATGTCAAGGACTTTCTGTGTGATTTTCTTAGTGGCTGGCGTTAATGGTTCTTAACCCGCAGTCAGACATCCCCGATGGGTCCCAGATAGGAGAAGGTGCAGGCCAGGCCCCACTCCATGCATGAATTTCATGCACTGGGGGGGTGGGGTGGGGGGGGGGCTTTAGTTTATTATACAGTAGCAGCATTCGAATTATAGTTCAAGTTGTGTAACTTTGCATCCAGTACTTATTTAGAACACATGCCAGATAAAAATTACACAATACCTTTGCAAGAGTAGTATTGAAAACCAGGTGTTTTATTTTTTCCCCCCCTCCTACTAAATTTTAAACAAAGATTTTTCTGGGTGATTGACCCAACCAGAGTTTCCTGGAAAAATTAAAATTTAAAGTAATATTTGGCATTAACAATAGAATGAGCCTGGCATAATTTTGTATCTGATTTGAATTGACATCACTTTTGGTAAATGATTGGTATGCCAGGATGCTGAACAAGCAACCCCATGCACTGCTTCCCTCTTGTGGGAGTCTGGCTGGGGGTCTGGTATCTGTTTTCAGTGTTTAATCAGTGGCAACTTGGATCTGAGTGGCTGAACTCAGCTGCCCCATTTCTGCAGGTCTAGTGTAGTAGTAATAACACAAGCAGACAAAAGATAGTAAAATTCATGTTTGGCATCAATCTTGCTTTTGTGGTTTTAAAGTGACAGGGAATGGCATTTTTCATCCTTCTAGAGGTAGTGAATGTGAGTCTTGAGCATGGATTGTGTGTGTCAGAACTGAACCATTGAACCATCATTACAGCTTGTTGGTTATAGCTAGGGCTTAAAGGCAGTGCTTAGATTTCTGCTGATTGTGAGCCTTCTGTTTACTTCTGCTGAAGGTAATACAACTTTTTCTGCCTGTAATAATTTGACAAAAGCTTAGGAAAGGGCTGGCAAAGGCTGAGGCCACTCTTTGAGAACTCTTAGCCCACTGGGGCTGAAATTAGGGACATTTAAATAACATACTGTACAAATGAGTACATATAATTACACAATAAGAGAGGGAGCTATTAGCTGTATTTGAATTTCATAATGCAGCAAGCCCTCTGTCCAGCTAAAAAGTCTTGACTGGATGTAAGGGACACTGAACCCTTTTCTCAGAATCGTCCTGTGGGCACTGGTTGTGATAACTAACCTAAATAGTGCTTACTACTTGGCAGTTACTGTTCTAGCTGTTTATCCATATTTTACTTACTTAATCTTCGGAACAAACCATTTTATAGATGAGAAAACAATACACCAGTGTGATTAGCAAGTTGCCTACACAACTAGGG